GCTGTCATACCGAGACACTGATGCAATTTTCATTGTCTGGGTGCGGTAATACGCCTTGAGTATCTTCTCAGCGACTCTAGATTTTCTTAGCCATATCTGACGCAATCTATCTTTCTTTACTTCATCTTTTTCACGCTTAAAACGCTCAAACGCAATGTTCCGTCTTCTCACTTCATTACGGATGTTAAGAGGGTACTCAGATTCGGACAACCTGCACCTAGTTACCTTTAACTGAAAGAACTTGTTAGCTATAGCAAGGATCGTTTTTTCAATCAGTAACGCTTGCTCATCCGGACCTTCATTGTGCAACATACTAAGCCAGTCAGTTTCGTATAAAGCATTACGAAACTGCAAGCATTTTTCTTCGTTAATAATCCAACGCTTTCTCTGTACTTTAGGATCAGCACGTTTTTGCCTAGAAAATTTAACAATAACTCCATTGTGGTCATTTGTAGCCGCTGGCGGACATACACTCTCCGGTACAGTTGTCAACCATACGGTTGGAACAATACACAAGTCTAAAATATTATCTTTGCGCGTTGGACAACGAACGGTTTGCTTTAAATTAAATTCTTTCAGACATCTTACAAATTCACGACCAGTTTTACTTATTGCACAGTTTCTCACCCAATCAATATCAGGAAGGTTAAAATCACCAACAAGTAACAGTCTTGAGAAATTCACATGCGGAATAGTTCTCAGATGTTCGATTAACAGAGGGATATCTGTTGTGACACGTGATGGTGCAGAATAGAATGCCGCTGCTAAAACATTTATCTTCGGTATTTCAACTATTATTAATTCGAGATCAATATTTTCAAAATCTGTTCGCCTTACTGCATTCAAACTTTTTCGTATAACAAAAGTCACACCGCCATGAGGATCAGTACTTCTTGGTCGTCTAAAAACATTAAAATTTCTTAAATCAGCAAACACTGAATCAGGATATTCTGGTCGATCCCAGGTTTCAAATAGACCAACAATGTCAGTGTCTTTACAGAACTGTTTTACCGAAGCAGATTTAGAGAGTATTCCATTTATGTTACAAAATTTTAATGTTATATTAGTATGCGCTGAAAATTTAGTTTTAACGATAAACTGTTTCGACCCTGATTTGTCACAATCGTGCGAGTTTTTCAGAGCTGACTGCGATGAAAAACTCGCGGTTTCACGTTTCCCGTCTGCGTGGCAGGAGATTTATACTCCCAGCGCCGTAATGATACATTAGTAGGCCACATATCAGCAGCCATTAATGCTGCTTCACATTCAACGAAAGTACCAATTCGTGCGCATGTCGTGCTACGCCTATCGCCTTCCCTTCGCTCAAAAACTTTGACAAATCGCACGTTTACACCAAGATCAGTTAGGCTAGACTTCAGATCGTTTGCATATTCTTCTGTATTCGCGTAACCCGCATTGTTTGTAAGCGGAATTCCCATTACACACACATCTACATGGGCCTTGCGTTGCAGACTTAGCTTTTTTGCCAGGTTGTGCCGCGGATCTGGGTCATCTGATCCTCCAGGCTGGTGTTTTCCCTTGACAATATTTCGACGAGTGACGGTGGTCCATTCGGGAGTTACAACATTAACAATTTCAGGATCATCATCAGAGGACTTGTCGTTTGACTTTACGGGCTTGTTCGGTTTGGTAATGGTTGGTTGCTGGCGCACCACAGGATTAGTCAATACGATTTGCTTAGTCGCCATCTTGGATTCCACTTGATCGACTCGTGCTGTCAACTCCGGCAGTTCTTCTTCCACAATTCGTTGCATAGTCGTTCCTAATCCATTAACGTCGGTCTCCAGTTGTTCCATGCCACGTTGCAGCTGTTGTCCTTCAAGTGTGTCCACTCTTTTCCGTAGCTGTTGATTCTCTTCCAGCAGTTTGTACAGTATAGGCGCAATGAGGTTCATGCCTTTCGTCGTCGTCTTCTTGGCTTCCACTTCCAGTTCCGCCAAGAGCTTTCGGAGTTCATCCATTCCGATGGAGAACCAGGTAATCCAACAGTAATTCCACGGGAGTAAAAGATAAAAATGCCAGGAGATCACGAAAGGTCACAGTTTTTGCTGTTACAGACAATAACCCGGATACATGTAATCGCACTAGTAAAAAATATTCAAAAATAAGGTCCGTCTCTGAAGTGATATTGCAGCATTAATTGCATAGCTGCAGCGCTCGGTAACTTGTCTATTTATATTGCTTGAAGTTAGATTCTTGTTTTATCATGTTTACAAATTTGTGGTATTAAACTGTCAAAGATTTATAAACTCAATTTTATCCAAAATAACTCTATTTTATCCAAAATAGCGTGGTTGTGCTCGTTATCCCCGCCCTTGTACTGCATGCCCCCTGCCTGCCTGCCATTGTGCCATTATCGCATCACATCTTTTCGCGTAACAAAGAATAAACACATAACAAAATAAATAAAAGTTTACTTCATTTTACCTGTAGGTTTTTATCTAATGGGGGTACAGTACATGTGCGCTATTTCGACCAAAGAACATATTATAACGGAATACAAAACATATCAGTTGAACAAACATATCACGCTCACAACGACGGACTCATTCGTGCTGATTGCGGGAGCAGTTGTCGAAAGGTTGAAGACCTGTGAATGAGATACCGGTATAGTAATCCGATAGTCTTACTTTCCAAATGACTGTCTCCAAATGACTTTGCAAATGAGTGCTTGCCAGGTATAGATACTCATTAATCCCAGTGATATGGCTGGAATCGTGCAGAAAAGACTGCATTATCAGTACGAGTATACTTTTTCATTTCTGCGTAAATGGTTTTATTCTCCTGCTGCCAGGAAAGACACTTCCGCAAGGTCCAGATCTTGCAGGAAGCAGCTGTTGATAACTTGGCACTGACAAGAAACGATCAAGCAACGCGCGTTCGCAATGTGTCAGCTGTTTATTGTATCTACGGTGTACAATACAATGCCACCGGTCCCAGTTGCTGCTACATCCTCTGCTAACCATTCTGCGGCAAGTATGATTAGCTGCTGTAAATGACGCGCAGGTGATCTGCCGAACCAATCCACATCGCAATAATTTTCACCTACTAAAATTCCATCACAGCGCTTTAATCTGACAGTATTCCAAATGATGCATTTAGCGGTACCATGAAATGCGCCACTGCAGGACTTGGATCGTTGACGGTAATTCAATTCATTTTTTAACGGCAAATCAACGGAACAGGCTTCTGAAACGGTTTTAACGGTAAATTGAGACGATGGCGATATTCACAGCGTCAAAGACAGAGGCCAAATTAAAAAGGGCAAACTGATTTATTACCCTCTTCTTCAACCTCCCTCAAAATGTGTTCGCAAACTCTGGCACAGGCTTGCCGAAATGTCTCACATACAGACAGATGTGCAATAATAGTCATACACATAATGTCTATTTTTGGCAACGAATCCTTAATCGATTCCACAGCGATACAATGTACTCGGTCAGCTTCGTCAGGCTGGCCAACACAAACAGCGGATCCAGTAGGACTTGCAACGAATACAGCAGAGTCACCCATGGGCCGATAATTCTTCTCTGCGCTGCTGGTATGCCGACCCACATCTGGATGTCGTAGTAAATCATACCGGGAAACCAACAAACCAGGGCGGACAGCGCAAACAAACTCATGATAACAAAAGGCCGCGTTTTGGCACGTTGGGAGTGTGCAAACGCCGAGGTAGGATGTCATGAGGGATTCTGCGCCAGCGCTCTTCGTCTGCGCACCAGCTTCCACACTACGCACAGATATGACACAGGGACCAAGACTTTCGGCAGGTCAAATCCTATAATACCGGCGATTGTGTAGTATAGATGCTGTGCTGCGTCATTCAACCCGCATCCATATTCCAACGGAAGACGGTAATAAAGGTCATCTAGGATAATCATGGGCACATATGTACAGGGTATGCGCATACACCGCAATAATCAAAGCACAACGACATTGCCACCAGCACTGTATGCCGATTCCGGTAAGAAATCGGTCACATAATGGCCCAAGCACGATTGACCACGATGAGAAGATGGATGTGCAGGATGGTCGGGGTGCCGATCCATGTGGAGTAGTTCAGCAGAATACAGCTGGGACGATAAACATTCTGGCTGTACCACAAACTCAGCAGGCTACGTGGGTCCAGCGCCGTGAAGATGATGTTGCTGCCGAGGAGGACAATTATGTAAATGTCAAATGGTGCCGGTCGTCCTTTCAGCAGTATGGACATCACAAAACCGTTAAGCAAAAAGGCAGCGAAGGTTGTGGCTATTATACCGGCAGCCCGAATCGGCCCGCGCTGAGGCGCTGAGTCTGAGTCTGACCACTAAAGGGCTGAGTCTGACTGATAAAGGACTGAGTCTGACTACTAAAAGGCTGAGTCTGACTAGTAAAAGGCTGAGTCCGGAAAGGAGTGCTGGGGTGAAACCTGTGAGATACTCCACCGGAAATATCGGCAGAAGTCTTCACGACGTCCCGTAATTCGTCCAACATTTATCAAACTACACTGCACCAGAATTAGTCTGACAACGATCAACGCCGTAAATACGGGGCGTTAAAAACAGCCGCAATTATAATACAAGCTATTGTCACTTTTAGCGAGACTTTTTAAAAACGACGTAAAAAGAAAAATACATAGCATTCTTTCTACACAAATAAAGCGAGGTGAGTACATTATAATGAGATAAACTGCTAAGGTGCCGCATGCGTGATGCAATTATGTGACGGAAAGCCAACATGCGAGAGGCGGTGAGAGACTGGTTGTTTATATTAAATTTCGATTACCGAGTCATATTCCAGTGTTCGCTCATTTCTAATCAGGTGGCTGTTGCCAATTAAGTCGTTGCAGCCAAGTAGTCTTGCGGATGGTGGGACACATACATGTACGGGTAGCTCGTATTATCCGGCATTTTTATTGTGCTGTGCACCCCATCAATAGTAAACATACGAATCATTGTAATATAGATAAGATAACCAAAACCACAGCAAAGCTGCCATGAAAAACAACATCGGGTACAAATTATTCCCGATCAGCCAATCTAAAAGCTAAAAAAACATCTTCGCTGTCTCTCATGTCACTAAATGTTCCGAGGACAGACACTGCACTTCCACGTTGGATCTCAATACTGATTCTCTGACGCAAAAACTCTCCCGACCGAGGGTTACCACTACATTCGCAAATCTTTCTGGACAATTCCTTGAAGAATTTCTTTGTGCGCGGTCCGAAAGTTCCCGTGGTTTCAAATGCCAAGGGTTGCACTATGTATCGATCCGCCAGTCCATCGTATTTCTCAAGCTTTCGATTCTCTCTTATTTCCGCTGCACTTCCTGGAACACGTGAGGTCTGGCCAATGTAGGTTTGGGCAAACGTGTCGGCAACAGTAACGTCCCAAACCATCGGTTTCCCATTGCGCCAAGGAAAAGCGGTTACACCGTCTGGCCGTTTGCCATCTCCTCTATCCAGTCCCGGTGGCTCAAGCGTCGACGGCACTCTGGCAGAATTTAGGGCCCGTTTTGTCGCGGCGTTCAACACGGCATGAGTACCGTGTCTTCCTTTGGCCAGCTTACATACAAGTCCATGATGACCGAGACTGTCTACTGTGACTCCGCAGCGACATACATGTTGCTGGCATACTGGGGCTCCCAATCGTCGAGCCACGGCTATGCGTAAATGGGCATCTTCCAATAAGTTACCAAAAATTGTGACTGGTAATGCAGCAAGCCATGCCCGCGATTCCGATGAGGATGCAGCCAACAAACGAGCTGAGGTAATTACGTCGGCATTCTCCATCATGCGGGTCGCAGTCCTGGTGTGCTGCACTGCTGTCCAAGCAGACTGGAACTGGCGGTTTTCTATCCGGGGAGCTTCCGTCGAATAGTGTTCCGTCCATAATTCGGTGAGGCGCGTGCATTTTTCTGAGATTGCGTCACTGCCTATTATATTGCGTACGACGTTGGCCACTCCATGCAGCGACGAGGCATAAGCAGCGAGCGCCACATCTGCTGCTTTTACCATTCCCAATCCCCCAAACTTCGTTGGTAGCGTAGCTTGCTCCCATACCGTTTCGGTCATTGCAACGTTCGTTAGCTGTTCCGCCTTGGTCCGAATCATTTCGTCGAATTTATGCAGCGCATCCGGGAACTGCCAACACTCAGCTGTCCTAAGGAGGTATAACAACTTCGGCAGCGACAAGCAATTTTTCAACAAAAATAGTGCTTGATGTGTAGGCAATATACCGAGCTGGTCGGCCAGCACTTGTGCTTGACCGACCTTCTTCATCAACGCGCTCTCGACCGCTTCCGCCAATAATGGAGATCCCAACAGCTCCAGCCTTTCCGCTGTGACAACGTGTGTATCCGGTGCCACATCCATGAACATTCGGACCACTTCCGCACGCTCGCAGGCTGTTCCTCCGTCTACGTATAGTTCGCATTTCTTCGTGTTTAGCTCCAAGCCTATTTCAGCGGCCGCTCCGCGGAGTTCCAAAAAGGCGTCGCGAACTGTCGGCGGGCTACCTGCACTCACTCCGTCGTCTAGATACCACAGATTAATGATCGTTTTTAACAGTGAACAAGGCGCTAGAGTTAGTAAACCATATAACATAGGAGCACTGGGATCGCCCTGCTGCACACCACTGTCTGACGAAAGGGTAACTCCAGTGCTAGGGGAAACGCAGAACAACGTTGTTGCTTCTCCATACGCCGAACAAAAGAACCTGTAGTACTCGGGTATGCGCTCCTTCACTATTTTCAAAATCTTGTCTCGTCTGACGGTGTTGAAAGCGTTAGAAAAGTCAAACTTCAGAAAGGCTCGTGCTTCAGTCGATGGCGTCTGTAGAAACTCTCTTGCACAATGCACCACCGTTTCCGCTCCTTTCTTCGTCCCAAACCCAAACTGTACTGGGCGGAAATAGTCTCCCATATCTGCTGACAAACGGAAACACACAATCTTGGCGATTAAACGACGTAGCGTACAACCAGAGGCTATAGGGCGAATGCCTCCATCGGGCTTTAAGAACGGGAAGAGATTAGCTCCGAAAAACACATCTCTGGCTTCTGCGGGAATTTCGTGATGTAGTAAATGGTTAGCAAACTTCACCAAGGCGTCCAACAGCTTTCGACGGGTCTCTCCTTGCGCAGACAACAAGTCTTTGAGGTGATCAGCGCGTAGACCATCCGGTCCTGGACAGGTACCTACATCAAACGACTCAAGGGCAGCTATCAGTTCTCTGGAAGTTACATCAGCAGCGACCGCATCCACATTACCCACCGGTGCATCCAGGTCAGCGGGCCGACCTGGATGTTTTTCCTTTAACATCGCAATGACTTCATCGGTTAATGGTGCGATGGTCTCTTGTGATACCAAGGCGTTCAACGCGCGTCCAATGGCACCACACTCCAGATGCGCATTAACCCGTTTCGCTTTAGCTGCTGTTATATAAGATAAGATAAGATAATATCGGTACATCTGTTTAGACATTAACTCATAGGGGAGACATACGGACCAATTCAGGGCTAACGTTAAGCTCCACAAGTGGCGCGCAACGGCACACTATTTACTACGATCTTTAGGCATTTGGCATGGCTGATGCTTGCCAAATAACTACCTACGTAAACTATAAACTGTCGATATAAATTATAAGTATTAACTTTGTCCTTTATGATTATCTTAAATGTTGAGAAGAGCAAAATTTGCCATTGTGGTCGAAGTGTACTGGCAGAAATTTTAAGCTAAAATTTTGCGCTAAATACAGAGTACGTGCGATCTACAGTATATGGTTACCACGGAAATTACGGGAGAAGCTTGTAGTACATCAAAGCGCTAATTTGCAGTAAATGAAACAATATAGTTCGTAATATGAATTAGATTTCCGCATACGACAGAGCTGCCGAGCGAACAAAAATTTGGTTTTAAAAGAAAATATGCTCACTTATTGATAAAATCCGCGCGGAGCGCGGAAAATTTTATGTTTTTGGAGCTCGTATGCTGCATTTTTACGTGCTTCTAGCCTGAAAAACCGGTTAAAATATCAACTTTTTCTGTTTTTATTTGTCTTCTTGGTCCCATCCCATCTTTCAACAATCCCAGCCCATCTCACCTCATCTGCAGCTCTTTCCCATCTCATCCTCATTTTCACCTAAAAGATGAGATGGGCTGGGAAAAATAGGGAAAATTTTCACCTCACCCAAAAGATGGGCAAAGTCTGCTGCGTATACGTTTATCAATCGAAAATTAATATCAAAGTCATCAAACTAACGACAGCGATCATATATATTGGTGCTTTAGTCATATTCTTGATTCATTCATAATAATATTTAAGCACTGTAATGCTAATTAAATTAGTCTGACTCAGACTCAGCGCCTCAGCGCGGGCCGTTAACCGGCTGTTGGAATTCCAGCGTGGCATTTGTCGAAGCGTTAGAAATATTTTGAAAAATCATGACGGGTTATAAGTATGAGGAGTTCTTTTCGGCAATTGCAGCTGAAATTCGGAAAAATTGAAATCGAAAAAGATTTGAACGATTTTTAGGCGATATCAGCATTTGCAGCTTACGAAGCAGTTGCAGTACCATGACTGTGAATCTGTGATTTGCGGATGTACAATTAATGCTGGGCTTTTTATAACGACAATCAGCAAACCGCTGCATCATTCATCGTCAACCAGTGAAGCGCAATAATTATGATCAAACGCTGCACTGGCTGTTATACAATAATTTGCACAATCTTACGTTGCAGCAGCGATAGATATCGGGCAACTTTATTCAGATGGATGGAATTAATTTTTAATGGCTTGGTATTACTGCAACCTTATAATTGTATACGGATTAGTTAAGCAAATCTTGGATCTTCGATTATTAAACTGCTAAATCATCCTGCCGCGGAGTGAGAACGAAAGAACTGGAATAATCCGGGAGCGGCATGCTATAACAGATATTTTACAGTAACATTCTGCGGAAGTGCGTTACGCTTGTTACTAGTTCGACCAGATCCCTATAGAAATCTATATGTGGTGTGCAAGTGAAATGTCATTATAAACAGTTTCATATTTAGTGAATTCTTCCCGTGTTTCATTCCGAGGGCCGTACTTCCTGGCGTCCATTTACTGCTACGTTCGTCGAAATTTGGACTTCAACCGGCCTTCCCTCGTCATGAGTGAGCCCCTCTGGTAAGCACACCGTACCTCATTAACGCCAATACCGGCGTTCAGTACATCAAGATTCAAGGTACGCATGGATAACGCCACCGTCGCCTCTCGGACCAACAGCGGTCAAGTCGACATGTACCGTACAAATCATGCTCTACCGATCGACCGGCCTGGTACCGTACAGTAATATCCGATTGTACGACAACGACCTTTTTCAGTTTGCACGGCATGGCTAATCTTTCTTGGCGTTTGTTCGCTATAAAAGTTGCAATGATTTCCTTGACCAGTGATGACCACTGGTACACTCTAGCAGTCGAATTCGGTTACGCAAAAGTGTAGAAATTCGTTGTTTCTCCAACACGGCTTTTCTTTTAATCGGGTATTGCAATCGAAAATTATATCTAACACGGACAGTAATCCATTTTATCAAACATGTTGACAATACCATTGCCACCGTCAGATATAAATTTGTAGGTATACGGTCAAATGTGAATAATTATATTATAATATACAAGCAATAATTATATATAGATACGAGCACGTTTACTTCGTACTTCTAAGTACACGTATACCACGGTTCAACTGCACTTTTGACTGCTACTGGCCACCAGCTGAAATGGTGTTGCCTGATTGATCATCAATTGTTTTATTGTGGTTACAATTTGGGCTGATTTCCCATATCCATGAAGAACATCGAATATGCTAGGCTAGCAAAGTCAACAAAAACACAACCAAACACCAGTAATTACCACACTTCGTTAAACGCGAGAAAAGCGACCGTAAAGACGCAACACATCTCATATCTGCTATAGGCTGTTGGACCAGGCAATCCTTTCACTGGCTCTAGCGGGTTCCTGTGGTGCCTTGTAGAGCCGTACTGGCCACTGGCGAAGAGCGCGATCAACGGGACGGTGACCGGGTGTACTCTGTAGAAGGAAATCCCCGGAAAACGCAACTCCGAAGCCGCAAGTTCGGGCCAACGAAGCGCCGCGAATGGCATGAAAGTTGTTCCTACAGAGCAAATTTACGAGTAAAACTGCTGAAGGCGCAAAGGCCGGCTGCCACCAAACCTGGAGACGCGGATTCACTGGGTGAATCGGTGGAGCAGCAGAATGCCGTGGAGTTCAGAATCCCCGAACGACCAAACACGGCTTCAGCAAGGAACTCCACGGCTCTCTCCTGCTCCACCGATCCACCAGCGTGTCTAGTAGAGCGGTTTTTTGGTGGGCGTTCGTTTTCCGAAATGACTCTAGCTTAACAGCCTCCGCATTCCGTCCACTCGACTTCTTCCGCAGTCCTTCACTCACTACCGGCATTATACCGACCGGTTATAATGCTGGGGCCGTTGCACCGCCACCAGCACGACATCCCGCCTGACGGAATACTGTCAATGAGCTTCCTTCAACCGGGTTAGCACCTGCTAAAGTGTCCCTTACTATTGATTCCTTTCAGTCACTGAGCTACCCTCAACCAGGTCAGCACCAGCTAACGTGTCCGTTACTGTTGATTCGTTTCAGGCATCCCGCCTGACGGAATACTCTGTCACTGAGCTACCCTCAACCAGGTCAGCACCAGCTAACGTGTCCGTTACTGTTGATTCGTTTCAGGCATCCCGCCTGACGGAATACTCTGTCACTGAGCTACCCTCAACCAGGTCAGCACCAGCTAACGTATCCGTTACTGTTGATTCGTTTCAGGCATCCCGCCTGAGAAAAATACTCGGTCACTGAGCTACCCTCAACCGGGTCAGCACCAGCTAACGTGTCCGTTACTGTTGATTCGTTTCAGGCATCCCGCCTGACGGAATACTCTGTCACTGAGCTACCCTCAACCAGGTCAGCACCAGCTAACGTGTCCGTTACTGTTGATTCGTTTCAGGCATCCCGCCTGACGAAAATACTCGGTCACTGAGCTACCCTCAACCGGGTCAGCACCAGCTGACGTATCCGTTACCGTTGATCCGTTTCAGGAATCCTGCCCGTGAGGGATACATCTGTCGCTCAGCCACCCTTGACCGGGTCAGGTCTAGGACAGCTGAAAGCTCGAAAGCATGTTTCTGTATTGTAATGCAGGCTTTATTCCAGCAGCTTACAATACATACTACTAATAATGTTTTTCACACACTCGTTTATATACCGTTAACCTCCCCTTATCGTCAACAACATCAGCTGGCTAATTTATCTGCTCATCGTACATTGGGCTAAGTCCAGGGAACACAGCTCATGCGCTCAACACATGTAGTAAACATGCAGCTGTGGCATGGCACAGTCTATGTTGCCGCCGCCTTCATAATCACGCACCGCAATTATGAACCTTGTATCCGCACACACTCACGGTGTCTTAATGTCCCATGATTTCCTTGGCACATTGTTGAGATAGAGTTTTGAGTGATCGATATTTGGCACGGCTTAGTACATAGCCGACACAAAAAAAGAGGAAAACAAAATCGTTACCGCTATTCTATGGAGAAAGAGTCGAAATTTGACATCAATTAAGCACTAACAGCAGTGCTTGTTTTGTTCGTGACATGCACTTTTGCAAACACGTTTCTAAGCGAGTGTGAGAAATAAGCATTTTCTACTAATGTGCTTGCAATAAGACATTACTGAACATCAGCACTTCCTGGATACTTTCGCACACAAAGCGAAGCTCCTCTCTGTAACGTTGTGGCTTGCTGCTAAATACTATACTATACTACAAACAGTGACCGTTTGTGCGGGCCGTTTCCCTTGAATTTCTAATGGCAGTTTGGATATAAAAGAAACTATTCTGAGCAATTGAGAGACGTTTGTATTTGTACTGCGTAAACCAATTCTTGGTGCGTTAGGCCTACGGCACTCATGACGTTAAAACGCCCTGTGTACTTGGTATCATATTGGTGAACAAATGCTCCCAAGTCCCAACAGCCTAGCAATATCGGACCTGCCTGGCATGAAAGTGATACCTTGTGTATGACATACGAGACTTAGAGTAGGCACTCTGATGGCAGTTGTAAACGTAATACGACGCTCAAGTTGGAATGTAACGTTGCAGGAATGTACGTTGTGGAACTGAATGTTGCGAGTGTTGTAATCAAATACTGAAACAATCGTTGCAGCATCACTCGAACACCGGATATAACGAAAGAAACAGTGCTGTCTATAGCCATTGCCGTTATCGAAGTATTTCAGGACCATTTCTGTGTGGGAGGGCACGTACCGCCGATGCAGGGACGCATCATAATGCAAAATTAAAGAGGCTGAAAATTGTATTGCAGTATAAATTTCATATCCTTTTCGTGCAAACTGCAATAACATCTACTGAAATCCCTACAAGGAAGGAAATCTCTTTGACTGTTTCTGGAAAGTGTATAAATGCAGATTGCTTTTATGTACTGACATGATCGAGCCATTGTCTAGGTCCCCTAGTAATCATTTTTCTGGATTAAAAGTAAAATGAATAAGTCACTCTCAGCAGCGTTTAATGGTAATTCTTCAAACGCGAGCCATGTTCCACTAAGTCTTGCAAATACGATTCCGGTCGGTTGGCTACTGGGTGCAGTGGAATTCTGCAGTATACTAGCCAATGTGACCCTGATATGCGTATACTGCCGAACGCCTAGTCTTCGCACACCCTTCGGGGTTTATGTAATCAGCTTAGCGGTCGTGGATACCGTGCAGTCCTCCACTCTATCCCTCGAATACATCGCCAACTTCCTGCAAATTCCCTGGCCCTTTGGAGCGTTCTACTGTTCCCTCGTTCTGTATCTCGGCTGGGTCCTGATTGGAATGATACTGTATATTCATCTACTGATTACATTCAACCGGTTGTGGGCCGTGACCTTTCCCAATAGTTATCGTATTCGCCATAATAAAGCGTTTGCTTGCTGCGCCGTTGCCGGCGTGTTCTTGTTTATCCAGATTATGGTCCTGCCGGGAGCCATTGTGTATGAAGTACGGTTTGGGCAATCTCGACCGCCGTATGCCTGTACGTACGATCTTCACTTGATGATGGCGTCTAGTGTAATAAATTCGGTGATACTGACGACGCTGCCTAATGTGGCCATACTTATTATTTATCCGGTGATCTACTTCAAAGTCCGCAATCGCGTGCCGGATGCCAAAGTATCCTTGCCGCTCAATCACACCAATAATCCGAATTCCAATGCTGCATTTTCCAAAACAAGGGGTACTTCGACGTTTTTCGCTTTCCGGACATTTGCTTAAAATGGATTCATGTACCGGGCAGCAGAGACACGATATTCTTCGCACTATTTCACATTAGAAAACTTGATGATATTTTTTAGTAATCTAGTGTATAAGTTTATAAAAACAATAATTGTCACGTACTCAATTTTCGAAAGTTTTTGTCATGTGGAGCTGGAGAATACCGTGTTTCTGTTGTCCGGTACTCGTATTTATATTGTGGAAACGTCCGGAATGCGAAAAGCGTTCAAGCAGTTACTAGCTTATAGGTTATTAGGTACTTCATGTACTCTGTATAAATTATTTAGTACTACAGATAAGTGCATTAAGTTTTTCCACAATAATGAAAATACCGTAAGCGATGTGTAAGTACAGTAACGTTTAGGTGCTCCAGATGAACCCACGCTTACCGTTAACGACACCGCTAACGAACTCTCGGCAACCGACATGGATATTGAGAAGCGACAGCATAGCACCAAAGCAAAACCGCAAAAAGCCGGAAAAGAGCACAGTACGCGCCGGCATTTCGCCATTCTGACCGCGCTGGTGATCAGTGCGGTATTCTGCTCGACACCCATCAATGTGGTTTACACCATGCTGCTTTTCGATGTATTCAGCCTGGAAGCACTGGCTGCTACCAGTTTCATTTTTTATTTTAATGCATTATTGAACCCGTTGATGTATTTCCTGGCATCACAAGAATGGCGAGACGCCTTTAAAAGATTATTCTGTTGACTGTCTGTCCGCCTTACCGGGCGTCGCGTATCGGGACAGAAAAACTGTGAGAGCGAAGTACAACGTCCTGAAAATGCTATCTATTGATTTTTTAAATAATTTTTGTTTGATTTTTTGTTTTCTATTCGATGGCTCCAGTGTATAATGGACAGTGTACATAATATTCACGATCAGTCGATACTCGATGCTATTGTACAGTAACTAACCAGCTACTCGTAGGTACAGTCACCGTACATATATGTAACACAGAACAAGCGCCATGAGTCAAGCAGTTTATGATTGGCGTGGTGCAGCAGTAAGTGCCAAACTTGCAGCTAGTAAAAACATGGATGCCAATAACTGATCCCAAGTACATCATAAAGAAACTTGAAAAAAATGTAAAATTTAAGGTGAAACTCTACCACAACATTTATTTCCGCTGCGGTTATCAAACGATTAGAGTAGAGCTTTTGGGGCGGCGGCTACGTGTCTCCATATCTCACTTGCGCCACTGCGCTCAGCTGTCGTAAAATCAGCACGCAGTCAACATGATCGAATTTAAAAACAAAAACATCATCGTAAGACTTTGGCACCCTATCATTTCGGAAATCATTCATTTCGGAAACCATTCATTTCGGAAACCATTCATTTCGGAAATCGTTCATTTCGGAAACCAAGCATTTCGAAAACAATTAAGTAAACAAACGAAAAGATAAGATTACATAAGAAAACATAAAAAAGTATAACGTAAGAAAGCATAAAAACATAAGAAAACTTTAGAAACAATTACCAAAACTAAGAAAACCTGAGAAACTTAATACAAAACAAGAATAACATACAGAAACCTAAGAAAACTATTTAATTACGAAACCTAATTAAGAAACCTAATTAAGAAACTTAATTAAGAACTTAAGAAAACCTAAGAAACAGAAGAAAACATTTAAATAATACCACATCATGAAAAAAAACCACGTAATTAAGAACCTTAATTAAGAAACTTAATTAAGAAATTAAGAAAACCTAAGAAATCTAAGAAACCTAAGAAAACATTTGAATACCAAGAAAACCACCTAATTAAGAACCCTAATTATGAAACCTAATTAGGAACTTAGTAAAGCTAAGAAACCTTAGAGTCATCTACAGCTTAGGACAAAATGGTCGCATACCCAACATCTCCACATTCAGTACGAATGCAGCGCAGTGCACTGTACGACTGAGTTCAAAATATCCGTTTCGTACAAGTGCACTGCACCGCTTGCGTACAGAATACTGGGTATGGGGCTATGCGACCATTTAGTCCTACATTGTAAATAGTATAAGAAAGCATAAGAAACACCGAAAAACATACTCGTATTTCAAAATGAACGGTTTCCGAAATGAACGGTTTCCGAAATGAATGGTTTCCGAAATGAATGGTTTCCGAAATGAATGGTTTCCGAAATGAATGGACACCAAGACTTTTGCATGCTTTCGATTTATTATTTTGATATTTTCCTAGGTTTACTTTGAGCTTGGTCCTAGAAAATTTTGTTGAAGCGTTTTTTTGCAATACTGATTAGGAGAACGATGTAGGCTGCAGTGCATTGTATGCGCCTGTTGGAATCTTGAAGACGAGACGAGTTGAGACTTCTTGAATCTTGAAACAGGATTGCAGACTCCCCATCACCATCATGAGCTCCCTCAGCCAGCTGCAGAAACGCCTCTTCTTCAAGCTGCCCCTGGACCGCCACTGCACTCTCCACCTGTGCCCCGCAGGGGACGCCCTGTGCTGCCTCACCGCGGCGGGGGAGCTGTACTACGCTCCGCTGACGGGACGCCAGCTCAAACTGGTCCGACCCAGTGTGGCCGAGTTCCTGTGGCTGGACGCCCGCCGTTGTGTGCTGCTGGACGGGGCGACGCACGAACTCCTCTTCTACCTGCTGGACACGCAGGACACCGTCAAGTTTGTGGTGCTGATGCAGTTCAGCTTCCCCTTTGTGGCCAGTGCGCTGGCGGACCATGGACTGGTGTTGCAGTTGGATGATGCGCTGCAGCTGCTGAAATTCCATACCTTTACGCTGCGTGAGTCCGTCTGATCGAAAATTGCTTCCGGAATTTTATCAGATTTTTCTTTTCACATGTTATTACGTATTTCCATATATTTTTATTTATTTCAGTTTTACAAATTCATATTAATTTTTCTTTTAAGTTATGATATTATTTTCGTGTTTTTATTTTTCAGTTTTTCTTAATAATTTTCAGTTTTAATTTCTCATATTTTCCTTTTATTTTTCCGCTTTACTGTCCTATTCAGATTCAGCTTTTTTCCGACTCAAAACTGACGGGTAGTGTGTGTAGTTTTATAATTTATTTGTCTGCAGTTGCCGTAAATTTTTATTACAGTACGTACATGTTTTTATAGAAGCGAATTTGTATTTTCAGATGTATGAAATATTGCTCAGCTTTTTGCGTATTTTTTTGAGAGTGGAATTTTTTATCGTCAGGAGTTTTCACGAAAAGAATCGCATAAGAGAAAAGTACGTTTTGGGTTTTTTTAGACTTCTATATTTTGGTATTTGAATTCAACAGGTAGTAGATTCTCTTACACTAAATAAAACATGCACGTTTTTTTGTTTTGCAGTACATTTTTTGCTAGTGAAGTTCTCATTTCAGCAGTCTTTTTCCTTGGTATTTTTTCCAGTGTTTTTACGGCGCTCTTCTGGTGTCTCTGTAATTTCGATTTTCGCTGGCTTTCGTAGTACATGGGCAACGGTGTTAGATTCCAGTAATTGTATGTGGTATGTACTCGCTCTCTGTTTTCTATCCAGTAATCTTAGACTCGTCGGAATTCTCGTTTGATTAAATAAATCGAATGTTAAATTAATTTTTTTATTTGATTGTTTTCAATGTTCATTGTGAAATTTGTCATTTCTTGTGTGTTCGAAAATTTAAATTAAATGCCAAGTAAGAAAAGCCAAAGCGCGGATAGTTGAAAGTTTTAACAGTACAAAAAGAAGCCAAAGTGTCTGTTTTTGTTATTTTTAAGATATTCTGTTTGCAGCTGGCGATATGGGACGAGGCGGGGAATCGGTGAAAGAGCTGTTCTGCACGGCGAAATCGGAGCATCTCCTGCGCTTCCACGTGCAGACCTCCACCCGCACCCTGCAGCTGACCTCCTGCCTGAAACTGGCCCGCGGGGGCGTGGCCACCGCCTGCGGCGATGTGTGCCTCTTCTACGCTCCGCTATCCCGCAACCTCTTCATCGTCTCGGCCGTGGAGAGAGAGTTTCTCGTCGTGGCGTCACTAAAGAAAATCCTCTCACCCCGCACCTCCGCCAAGATCCATTTGATCGCGCTGTCACCCGATGGCAGGTGGCTGGTGCTGGTCACGTCGGATCTGGATGTCCATCAGGTGCAATTCGCCGCGGTAAGGATTACGTCTACATAGTAAACTGTATTTTCGTTCGAAATAAATATTACGACAATAGGAAAGTGTAGATTTTCCATTGAATTGTAAATTATCGGAATTGTGCACGAATACGATGGGAAAAATGGACGTATTTATTGATTTTCGTAGTGTAGTGTCTCCTGCAATGTAAAAGGGTTTAGTCTTCTGTCAGGGCGATTGTGAAAGACCCTTATCATTATGAGAATTTTGCGAATGCTTCCCATTTTTTCAAAAAGAATTATTCATGTAGCAGTGTCTCCGCGCTAAATATTTTGTACTTGGGTCGCTACTCTTCTATTACTTGGTAAAATTCTGCATTTTTCCGAAAGGTTTTTCTCTAGTAATGGGCTGGCCACTGCCTGTTGTACTACAGCAGGCGCAGTAACCTGCAAATTACATAGTACGGATGATTTGATTTGGAAAATGTTTTTGTGTGCTTTATTAAAACGGTTATTGTCGCCATGGTCCATTGGCTGCATTGCATTTCATGCATTGCAGTTGAACGAGGACAGTGTGATGAGTAAAGGCTCCATCTTCTCCTGCCAGACCGGCCGCTACCTGGAGGAAGACTACCAGCCGGATATCGCTGCCCGCCGGCCCAGCCGTCGCATGAACACCGTCTGGGAGCGGGAAGTGGCGCAGTTGGTGGCTAAAAACCACGCCAAGGAGCACTACACCACCACCGGCTGGATCTTCCCGCCGATGGACGCTGCCGCGCCGGTCAACATGCCGTGGCGGGCGCCGGAAGAGTTCGAGGGATTCGTCCCGCAGGCGCTGCACTGCACCCCCACCGAGACCTATGTCCTGGCCAAGAATTTCGAGCACATCCTGCTTCTTGGTGAGTTTCTGAGGGATAACGCTCTGCAAAATAAAATATTTTTTTAAGGTTTAGCCGTATTTATTGAATTTAGATATTTTACGTGTTTTAAAATGATCGACTATTTGCATAATACAGTTAAACTGAAATATAGTTGATTGTTATTTATATTGCGTAGGTTTACATAGATCAGCATTCTCCGCAAAAAAATGCATTTTCCGTTACGATTTTAAAATTAATGACCTTCATTTTACTTTTTTACTGGCGAAGTTGTAACGTGCAGAGTTACATGTGAAGATCTCGTAGTGTAATGGATCATTGGTGTACTGCTGTATACCTCTATGTAAATTGAGCGTCTAATAATATATTCAAGGGACAGGCAATAATTTGGTTTAATGCCTCAGGGAGCGTCGCTTTTTTTTTGCGTTTTTCGGGCTTCTCGTTGTTGCTGAATAGCTACCTAGTACCTACGGTCACTGGTGTTTTTCTTGCTACCGGTAGGCGTGAAGAAGCTGACCGGTCCCGAGGGTGTGTGGATGTCGTTCAGCCAGGAATGCGCCATCGCCTTCCCCACCGACCAGCCCTACCCCATCCTGCTGTTCTACCCGATGTCGGTAGCGGTGATCGCCCCCGACCAGGCCACCGGTTTCCTGCCGGAAGTGGCGCGGGCCGCGGCGCCCGATCCCTGGGAGGATCTCTCGGAGAACCAGGTGATGGAGCTGGCCTTCATGCAGGACATCATCGATAAGGCCGTTGATTATCTCCTTAAACGCTATCCTCAACGGACGGGTCTTTTGGAGACGGATTATCCGACTAAAGCGGCGATTTCCATAGCCAGGTTAGTGAGTGAAGTCAGTGAACGTTGTAGTAATTCTTGCTGAGCTTCGTAGTGCAGTGGGTCGTATATACGCGAAAAAAACCGACAAACAGATAATCGGAAGAAAAAAATCAGGAATATTCGGACTTTAGTTTAAATCATTTCTGTAATGGTTTTTTGGATTTTTCATCACTAGTGAGTGCATCGCTAATTAAGATGGCTAGTTTTCTAGATCTGATTTTGACGTTTGCAAATTTTGTGTGTAGTTAACTTATTTTGTGTAGCTTAATTAATATATTACTACTAATCTATGAACAGATTACTTTTTGTCGATTGTCTGTTTATAAATTTTAACCGATGAATGTTTCAATTTTTTAAGCAACCAGTTAGTTGACTTTGTTTGCAGCTTGTAGGTAGTTTTTTTGGTTAATAAATAATTTGTAAATTTTTGATTTATACTTTATAGTATACCCTTTACTGTTTGTCATTTTCAATTGTATTATTGACAAATTTGATTTTTGATCGGTTTTTGTTTGTTTACAATTTCCAGAGAATATTTAGAAGCGCGCAACCCATCCGGCGCACAAGACATCCTTAATTTTGTCAACTTGGACGTCAACCAGCAGATGCGGGATCTGCTGTACGCCACGAGCAGTCCTGACTTGCGCCAATGGTTATTCGATGATCTGCGCAGTCGGACGGTTGTTGGCGAGACCGACACCGTTCTGTACGAGTACATCCTGCAAATGGAGGCGCATCTGCCCCAGCCGCTGTCCATGGAGTCCGTCAAAGACTGGACGGATCTCCAGCGGCGTCAGAAGCTGCTTGAGGTATATGCGCTGGCACCGTGAGAGCCAAGAGCGGTATCATAAACCCGACAGATTGTGCTTCTATATATGTTTTATTGTTATCAATTTCCCTCAGTATTTCCCTAACTTCGACTAAAGACTAACTATGTAAACGCTTTGGCATCGAAAGTGCTATTCTTTACATGGCGGGAAACTGGGTAAAATTCAGTAAAAGACGTAGAACAGTGCCACCACGAAGCTCGTTAAAAGCGGATACAATATAGTGGTGGCTGAATTTTAGTGAAGTTGCTAAATATGTAATAAATTGCTGCATTTGTTAATTTTTTGTCTATTCATTAGATCAAGTCGATACAGGCGCAGCCTGTATTTTTGTAAACACACTGAATAATGTGTTTCATATCAATCTAAAAGAGCACTGATCTGAAATTATTTCTGAACATTTTGGGATTTTTCCTACTGAAATTAATTTGGTGATTCTGAAAGTTTTACCGTTTGAAATATTTTTGGGAAAATTTGGAATTTTGCAACTTTTAGGATTGTACAGTATTTTAAATAGTAAGAGATACGATAATAATAACAAATAACCATAAAAATAAATATAGTTTTTGTGGTTGGAAGTGGCACAATTTTTTAAGATTTTTTTTTGTATTAATGACACAAATTAAAAATTTATTTTCTGTAGGTGGCCATCACGACCAGGGACATTGCTCTGGTGGACACCTTCCCGGCCGATTTCCTCTTCGACCTCCTGTTATCCCTGGACGACACCGTCCGCTTGACCTCCTGGATCCACTCCCGCCCCGACTTTACCACCCACCTCATCGATCCGGCCTTCCGCGAGCGCATCCCCGACGACAGCGCATTAGCCGACGAATTCGCCCGCCAGGGCATCTTCTCCGCCTCCGAACTGACCCACTGGCGCGACTACATCCGCCGCCTGATGAGCGCCTTCGACCAGCATCCCTTCTTCGACAAAACCAATCCCCAGCGTCTGTTGGAGCTCCCGCCCCCCATCCGGGAGGCGTTTATCACCTTCTGCGTGGAGCAGAAGTTGGTGGCGGTGGTGGGGGAGTTGGCGGACGAGCAGGGGTTCCGGGAGTGGGTGGGAGCGCGGGAGGGTGAGCTTCCCGAGTGGTTGACGGTGTATTTGTTGTTTCGGCGCACCGAGATGGAGGATGTCGGGCAGGTGAAGGAGTTGGCGGAGGCCAACGCCCGGTTATGTTATGGGAAGGAGGCGACGCTGGAGCGGCTGATTGAGATGGAGGAGACGGAGCTGGCGGTGGGGCTGCTGTTTCTAACCAAGGTAAGACGAGTGGACAATCGGTTGTCGCGATTAACAGTGCAGGTATAATGCGTCGTGATCGTAGTGTAAGGGTTTATCTCATTTTCATTCACACGTCGTTGTACGACAGAAAGATTGACCAATTACCTGGAACATTTGCTGTTTACTAGTAATATTATTGTGGTGCTTTTTTATGTTTTGACCTCGTTTTTATGGATTATCGTTAACATACAAAGGACATTCCAAAAATAATTTTCCCTATTTTGTATCTCGCGGCATTAACGCACTCAGCTAATATCATCCATATTGTTACAAACGCCCTTCATAAGCAAACTGTATAAAGAAGTTATTTTGTTTAATTACAATCAAATGGGGAAGAAATACCAAAAGAAACACCAAAGGGTTTTCAAAGTTTTTCACGTGATTTTCCCGGACAGTTTTTGCTACTTTTCGCAATCTTTCTGCTCATTTTCCTTGATGCAGAAAATATATTTAGGTTAAGAATTCTTTCCTCTTACAAAATAAAGTTTTGAACAAAATGTCCTATTCAAACCACTTTTCTACAAAATAAAAACTGCTTGGGACTAGGTGTCAAAATCAGAAAGCATCGCAGCATCCAGACGGTAAAAAAACAGAAAATTTCATGAAAAAATTTGCTGTTGTCGGTGGAATGCAAACTTTCTTGGTATCTGAGATGCGCACGACTGGCCATTAAATGTGCTTTTTATCGATGGGAAGCATCATAAATTTATAAAAGCGAAACGGCTGGAATAAGGGAATTTCGGTGTCTTATGAAAGAAAAATGTTTACTTTTAATCCTGAGCTTTTCAAAATGTTCTGCCATCGCAATAATATCAAGTACTAAATTTGCAGTTGACACTTTAAGTTTTTTGTTGAAAACATTGCCAGGTCAGAAGTTGCAATAAAAAGAATAATTTTCAAAAAAGGTGCTGAAAAAAGTGCAAAAGCAGCATTCACCATTTCGTTTTTCGTTTGGCAAGTTCTTCTTCGATTCTTTTGATTCTTATTTCTTTACATAGTTTACATAATGGGTTATCCAGCAAAAATTATACCATTTGTGTATAACCTAAAATCGTAGGGAGACAGAATAGGGAAAATTATTTTTGGAATCTCCTTTGTAGAATGCTATTCCATTACTGTGTATCTATGGGGATTTCGAAATAATTCGACGTTTTTCGCATTCCGGACATTTCCACAATCCGCATTCGCGTACCGGTCACCACAGACAGGGTCTTCTCTGCGCCGTTCCACATTAGTAAACTGGATAATTTTTTATTAATCTCGAGTTCAAGCTTGTATACAAACATGTAGTACCACGTAATCAGTTTTTGAAACCTTTTTGTCACGGGGGAGAATATCGTGTCTGTGGTGTCTGGTACGCAAATCCGTATTGAGAAAATGTCCGGAATGTTAAAAACATTGAAGTTATTACGGTATTCGGAAAATGGAATAAAGACAGCGATAACTTATAAAGCACAAAACGGATCTAGCTAATGGAAGAATTTGTAGGTACTAGGTAGTACAGGCATAAAACATTCTCGATGTGTTTCTCTCTGAATGAGTCTGGTTTCGTAAAATGAATTTGCCGTTGGAAGTTGTTGTGATCAAGAAAAATAATTTTTTAACTCATAAAGCACACTGTGATTTAGCTAATGGAGGAATTTGTAGTACTTGGGGGCCTCTCTGGTCGTAAAAGCAAAGTCTTCCTCTCTGAATGGATCTCGTTTGAATAAAATAAATTTGCCGTTGGAAATCGTTGTTATCATTGAAAATAATTTTTTAAAAGGTGTAACCATTTATAAAAAGCGTTTAGAACAACAGAAATTAATTGAACCTTTAAAAATGTCAGAATGAAATGGGTAGAGACTAGAGCATATGTTTTTGATTTTTTTATGTAAATGAATCCGTGGACATTTTTGTCAATCACCGGATTGTAATGGTCTGTAGGACGTGGGACCATGGACTACGGAGCCGGGATGTCCGTCTCTGTCGACCGCCTCCCTGGAGCTACTGCAGAAACAGCTGTCCAAGTATCCCAAACTGAAATCGGCGTTATTCCCTATCCGTTTGTCTCCGGAAGAGCGTCTAGCCAAATCGGTGACGGTGTACCAGCTGCTGGAATCCCAGGCGCCCTTTGACCCGCGCAAACTCTTCGGTTGGCAGTCCACCAACGCCGTCAACACCCACTACCGCAGCGTCGAAGTCCCGTCGTTTTCCCAGGCCGATCTACAGGAGAAGTTCGGCTATAAAAAGGATTTGGATTTTACATATTATTTAAAGAATTGCCGAGCGTCGTTCGCCTACTGGAGTTTTGTCTCGCAGCTGACCAGCGATAATTTCAAGGTTAGCTCATTTTTTATCTTCATAATTCAAATTTGTAATGGGTCAAATTGGTTTAATTAATAGGAGTTTAATTTTAATGTAAGTTTAATTTTTTAATTGTATTTATTTTCTGTTTACTTTCTGTCTTTCATTATATGACGGTTTTTTTATTATATATCTGAATGTTGTGGAATTCAGGAGGAGATGCAAGCGGGGCGGGATATGGCGTTCTTCTTGTCGGTGTTCTGCTTTACGGATGACAAGATCGTGGCGACATGTGTGGCGTTCATGGAGATGTTGGGCATCGAGTCCATGTCCACGCGCATTACTGTGCAAAGCGCACGATTAATCAAAAACTATTACCAGGCTGTGAGTGAAATAAATACAGCTGCCGTACATTAATTTAAAATCGAAATTATATATGCACGTTAAATTTAGTTCAGTAAAAGTAAGTCAAATTAAACTTAAATAAAGAAATAACCAGAAACACCACATCAGTCTAAAATATTGCTATCTTTAGTTTTCTTAACGTGACATGTTAATAAAATTTTTGATGTGAAAGCATTTATTTCCTCGAAATTGTACTTTTTATGCTTTCGGTAAACGTTTTCCCTTCGTTCAATAATTTCGATAACAAAATAATGATTATCCACTTTTCTAGAGTGAAATTGTACTGCCATAAACTGCGCCAAAAAAACTGTGATTTGCTTACACGGATATTTGTTAGCACATAATGCGGCCGAGGCCAACGCAGAACAATTTTGCAAATTAAGATATACTTGTTAATTAAAATTTGCAGGTAAATAATCTGGCCGACGCCAACGCGGAGGCCTTCACCCGCGACACCTTCATCGAGCTGTACAAATACGGAACAGAAATGGCAGCCGGCGTCTTAGACGACCTTTTACCGGCCACCCACCACCACCTCCGCCAAGCCGGCATCGCCCCGGCCACCTGGGCGGCCGTGCCCAGCTGGACGCTGGTCAACCAGTTCTGCGAGTTGTACAGCCTATCCTTGTCTGTAGAATACCTGCGACTGTGCGCCGCCGTCAACGACTGGCTGGGTTTTCTGGTCTTTGCCGAGTTGTTCCAGTATCCGTTGGCCATGGTGGCGCCGCTGGTGGAGGGCTTCACGCAGACGCATCTGCGGGAGAATATGCGCCTGATCCTCGCCGGGATGAAGAGCGCTCGTCCCGAACAGCAGCTGCATCAGGGCGGGCTGCGGAATGTCCGGGGAGCGCTGTATGCGCGCATCGGGGTGGTGCCGAGTGATAAGACGACCAGCGGGACTAGCACCAGTGATGAGGATCTCCGTGCGGCTGATTCCGGCGCCGGTAGGATTTTTGCAGATTTTCTTGTGGTTGTTCACGAACAGCCACCGCTGGAATTTTTTAAAAATATTTATACCGTTATGTTACTGATTAATTTTGTTTTTTGAAATAGCACAGAAATTATTTTTGAGTAGTGTATTAAGGTTTTTTAAGGCTTACTTGCATTTCAAGTTTTCAACCTATGAGTTATGTGAATATTTACCTAATTTTGTTATTGGATTTTTTTAGTTATTGATTTTTAATTAAATTTTTTTAATCGACAAGTATTTCACATTTAAATTTTGTGGGAATCTTTAATTAAATTCTTATTGCGCGTTTTCATTCTTTTTATAAACAGTTGCAGGGCTATTTTTCAGTGATATTAATTTTAATTTCGTAATTCTTTCGCGCTGTCCGCCGTAAACTAATTTTCTCTTCAGTAATTTTAATTAATTCTGGCTAGATGATTTAACTGGAACGTGGTGCGTGTTGTAGCGAAATCTGGCGGCGACAACCGTCCGGCCAATTTGATTGAAGTGATGGCATTGGTGCAGAAAGCTCTGCATCCCTGGCGGGAACTGTTGGCGTTTGCGGTGGAATTTCATGCGCCGGTGTACGCTGTGATGGCTGCCAATGAAGCCGGCGTCAACCGGCTGTTGTGCCTCTGCATTCTCCTGATGACGTCTTTCTCGGAAGCGGAACTGATCAAAGCCAAGGAGGCTCTCAACATCACTGGTAAACAACATGCACTTGACTGAAGTGATCGAAGTGCTACTTGAAGTAAAAGTAAACAACTGCTAATTAAAGTAATAATCAATAAAGTGAACAACTCAATTAAAGTAAAGTGATTAAAGTGTTAATAGGTAATTAGTTTAACCACTTCCTATTTTGTGATTTTTAAGAAAAAAACAAATGGAATCTGTATTTTCGGTTAATTTTCAAGTAGTGGGTTACTTTCCTTTGTGTCTGCAACTCTTGGCCACCAAACTAAAGCCAACATTCTACGTTTTTCTGCGGTTTCTAGGTACGGGGTAGTGTGTTGCACGAAAATTCAAAAATAATATTCAACTGTAAGCTTGTAAAAGTTTGCCAGGTTTGAGTTTTTTTGTAGGTTCGTTATTGGACTTCCACTGGACCCGCGAGCACACCGTCCTCCTAACCAACCAGCACGCCGCCGCGCAGAACCTCCGCCTGGCCAGCAACGCCTGCCGCGCCGCCTACCCCGCCAGCGTCCTGGCCCACCTCCTGGACGTCGCCGCCGACATGGAGGAGCGCGCCGACCGCCCCGCCCTCGGGCGCAAACTGCAGAAGGTCCCGGCGGTGGCCGCCCGCAAGACCAGCCCCGCCGGCCGCCGCGAGGACGATGTGGAGGACGCCGAGTGGGGCGTGGCCACGGGGCTGGGCGTGGTGGCGCGGCTGGTGGAGCAGATCAAGTACGAGAACGAGTGGGAGTGGCGCCGCGTGCTGGGGCTGCTGCGCGACAGCGGGGTGATGAAGATGGCGGATGAGGGGGCGGGGACCGGGGAGGAGGTGCAGCGCCTGGCTGCCGAGGTGGCCGGGCTGTCGCAGGCTCTGCAGACCGACGCGTCAAAGTATGTCGCGAATTTTTCGGATTTCTTTTGTATTTTGCTTGCCTCAAAGAGATGAAAACATTGAATTTTAAAAAGTTGATTATGGTTGTTGGATTATTATTTTTTGATGTTGTTATTTATTGGAAAATCTGTATTAATCTGAGCAGCTTTTCTTGAATTAAAAAAGTAAAAAAAGTAAACTAACAGTTTATAAATAAAGTAAATTCACGGTTTTCGCTGTTTTTTTCCTTAATATTTTTCATTTTAGTATTTATTTTAAAATCTGTTCACTTGGTAAATGTATTAATGTGCAAAAGTTTTTTAAATTCGTAAAGTTGCAGTTTTCACTTTTTCCTGTAAGACAGCGCTCTAAAACGTAATGTGTGCACCGTCCATAACGCTTGGTTGCCGTTTGCCATAATTGAAATTTTCAGAATATTGTAGTGCGATGGCTTGCTACGCGTATAGGCTGATTATCTCGTGTTGCATTCGCAGACAGTATACAGCATAAAAATGGGGAATGTTTTCGAATATGTTTGATATCTCTGGTGAAGATAATGCTTGTAATATTTTTAGAATTTTACGAACAACTGAAGCCGAATAAAATAATGAAATTTGTCTGCAGGATCCTGGAACTGAAATCGCTGCTGCGCGATTTCCAGCGCAGCGCCCTATGGTCAGCGGAGTCGTTCCGCATGGAGATCTGGCGGGGCATCTTCGCCCGTCTCCCGGTGGAACTGGTGGAGAAGCAGTCGCTGATGGAGATCCAGGAGATTCTGGAGAAAGCGCTGCTGGCCTCCGACTCCCAAGAAGAGAAGTGTGTGCTGCTGACCATCATGTGGAAGCTGGACGATACGCCGCAGCGACTGCGCGCTGCCTGGGAGGCTAAAGTGACTTTTGGATTGAGTACGTCGCGGCCGCTGGAAGAATGGATCCGGGATGGACTGCTGGGGGCGGGCGCGCCGCCCGCCGATCTGCAGACGGAACTGCTCAGTCTGGCCAGGCTGTGCCTGCGCGATATTCCCCAACTGATCAACACCGGTAAATGATATATTCCTTCAACATTATTTTCCAACATTATTTCCTTGAAAGTTATTCTGGTAGTTGACTAGATTTTAAATGATTAAATTAGTGGTATCTAGTGTACGTATCCGTAATTATTTGTTTTTGCGTGGTAAAGAAAACATTTGGTATGGAAATTTTAACAGTAAATCACTTTAGGCATATCTGTTAGGTATGGGCCAGTACACATAACAGTTCGCGTGCGCAGTTTTACACTAATTAGTAGCATAAATTTGAATCATTAAAAAACATTCAAAATCTTTAGAATCTCTATGTTCACTTTTCTATGTAACTCCGCATCACGCTACTCAGTATTGGCTTGACTTTTTTCGGTGTTTGAAGCCACTGATCTACGTTGTCTGCAGTTTCTGAAGGAATTAATACCATCGCATGATGTGTGTTGCCGTTCTAGCGATTTGCGGGCGCTTATGGGTTGAATTCCTTATTTTTCTAATGAGTTGATTTCTTCATTACCTTTTTTGAATATGATACAAGGAGCTGAAGGAAGAGATGGCATTCTGTCCCGTACCATTGTCCCGATGTCTTCGAAATTGGTAACTCCTGTGGTGGGAAAAACGTTACAACTCATCGTTGATTTGGCAGGCAATAGTCGCGACGCGATGCTGGACGCCATGACGGCCTACCTGCTGAAACTGGGCAACCTGGTGTTGGCGGCGCGCATCTGCACCGAGTTCGCCTTCCTCAACCGCGATCTGGACGCCATCTGCGCCGCCATCGAGCTGGCGCAGGGCAGCAAGACCCCGGCGGATCTCCCGGGCTGGATCCAGGCGGAAGTGCAGTCCGGCACGCGGCGCGTCAGCACCACGACGCTGCACAACGGGCTGGAGGAGGACGCGGTGGTCGTCTGGCTGCGGCACATCGCCGCGGTGTGCACGCTGGGCAAGGATGTCGTGCAGGCGCTGCTCGATCATTACCTCCTCACCAAACTGCTCAGTGTACGTCCCAGAATTTTTGCCGATTTTTTCGGTGTCGTCTTCTTAAATTATTTTGGAAAATTACGTATTTTAAGTTTGTTTGTTTTATTTTTTTTAAACTGTTTTATTGCCGTAAATTTATTATAAAAATAAGCAGCCAGGAAACCGCTGCTGCAAATAAAATTTCAAAAATAAAATCAAAATATAAAAAAAGTACAGAGTAAGAAAATAAAGTGAGTTAAATTTTAAAAATACAGCTAAATTAAACTTTAAGAGAAAGTTCTTAATGGTCTGTTTAGATAGACTAAGTTTGAAAGGGATTAACCTCCCTTCCTGTCTTCAATATTTTTTATAAAATGCCACTGATCTACGTTGTATGCAAGTTTTCAGTGAGGATAATGGCATCGTTCGTGGTTAAAAGAAATACAGAGTAATTTATTTGAGTTTGAATATGTTTGCTGGTTTTGGAATGATTGTAATAATTTTCTTCTGTCGGAACACGAAAATTTTATTTATTGATTTATTTACTGGAAAACACTTTTATTTTATTGAGTAAATATTGAGTTCTTATTAAAATTTTTTTTAAGAATATCCTATGAAAAACTAGAAAAGGAAAAGACCGGTAGTTTCTGGATGCCGTGGAACAAGCTTGACATTGATGATACATTTTCCTGGTCATTAGGCGGGATTCGAGGAGCTGTTGCGCGCCAACACCACCGCCGTGCTGGAGCGCGTCTTCGTCGAACCCAGCGTGGAGAAAGTAGCCTTAGCGCGGCGCTGTCTCATCTCCTTCCGCGCCAACCCCCTGGAGGTCACCGCCTTCATCGCCGACTACGTCCGGCGGCGCTTACTCCACGGTCTGGAGGCCCCGGAGGTGGCCGACAACCCGGAGGCGGTGCGGAAGCTGGGCGAGTCGGTTAAACCGTTTCTCAGCGTGGCCATGGACTGTGTGGCGCTGGGCAACCATCTGATGGACACGGCCACCACCCTGCAGATGGCCACGCCCCAACTGGCTGTCGAGCTGCTGATCGCCGCCCACGAAGTGCTCAACGGGGCCGGGACGTTGGAGGGCATCGCCCGGCTCATGAAGGCCTGCAAGGTGAGACCAGAAAGGAAATTGAACCCAATAAAAATTGCTTCCTTTTATAATGGAAAGGAATCTGTTTTTTCGTTATTAAAGAAAACCTTTTTTTATTGTTTTTTGCTGATATGAAACTATTTTTATTGCTGTTTTTTTTTATCAAAATTGTTGGAATTATTGTTCCTGTTAAACAAATTATATGAGACACAGGTTGGCGTTTAATTAATTAGGCACAAATTAAACTGTATGGCTGCTTAGATTTACGTGTAGTTTGTGTAGTGTAGGCTGTAAAAATGGAGCGTACGCCACTGTACGGTGATAAGAAAATACTGCCGTAACAGATGAAGAAAATTCGCGCGTTATAATAACAGTTTCTGTTAAAGTTTCTTGTTTTCCTTTTTGCATTATTGACGAAGCCGACGATGGAATAAGAAATTTTTATTTTGGTTAGTTTATAATGGATTTTCAGTGAATTGAACGTTTCCCGTGTTTACTGTTCAATGTTTACCCAGGGTCTGGCGAAATTGTTAGCGGAAAAGAAGCAGATGGCGTCACTGTTGCGATTGCTGAACGGTATCGGGCGCTACTCGGAGATGACGTTTGTCTTCCATCTGATCAAGGAGGCCGACGAGATGGAGAAGCTGTTCGGCCGCGGTGTCGACAAGGATCCCAAACTGCGCAACGCCATCCTCAATTATCTGCGTAAATACCATCCGGAGGATCACAACGATTTTGATATGCTGGCCGCGCATTACTCCATGCACCGGGAGATCGGCGAGACCTTCCAGATGATCGCCGAAGACAAGTAAGTCAGTGTAACACGTTTTTAATCATCCGCATATATTTAAATTGAATTTCCTTATTATTGTTGGCAGTTGTTTCCCCCATTATTACTAATTTTATAAGATAAAAATGATAAATTAAATAATTATAAGGATTTGTTTTGTCAGATTCTGCGTTATGTTCAAGGTCTTTTAAAATAATTTTTCACGGTGAACAACGTGTTCGGTGGGGTGGAAAAAATGCGCATTCTTTTATGTTAATTCGTTTCAAGTTTTGGGACGGTTTTCCGCGCTGTTTTTTTTCTTAGTCGTAAAATATTCGCCGTAGAATCAGTTAACATTTTCTAGCGTTTAAACGGGATTAAATTTTGTTTCGCTTTTTGCTAGATGTCTGATTAAATTCGATATGTATTTAAATTTTTTGATTGAATTTTATATTTTTGCTAAATGACAAAATAATTTCATTTTCATATATTAGTTTTAACTTGATTCATTTTTAATTAATTTTTCTAAATTTGTTTGCGTAGACTGATGGTGTTCAAGCACCGGGCCATTGTCGACACGGCGGAGACGCAGAGTGAGCTGAAGAAGATCATCCAGCTGATGATGGACGCCGCGGGGAATTTCGCGCGCGCGGAATGCTACTTCCGGCAGGAGCGCTGCATCGAGCAGGCCCGCCTCGTGGCGCTGCAGATCGTCTTCCTGCCCACCGGACTGCGCTTACTGTCGCTCAAGAATCCCGCCGGATTTGTCTCCCAGCATCCCCGTTTCGCTGAGGCATTCATCTATGCACAGGTGGGTGATTTTTCACCATTAGTCGTTTTTCTGTATAGCAAAAGATGCTGGATAAAACAATCCGTAAATGTGCCATAATAGAATTACAATCCTAATGAGATTCGGCTTGTAATAAAAATATATTTTTCTCTGGTTTCCATAATGCACATTGCAAAAAGAATTGTTTGTATCTTTTCTTCTCTGATTTTTCCTCGGAATTAATATTCTGGATATTTTGCCGCTTGATGTTTTCGTGCAGCTGTTGATTTTCCCAATTCAGACATCTTATTTTTACGTTCGCCAAAGCTTTTTGTATTTTTTGGAAACGGGGTTTGATTATCGTTTAAAGCTTTACGAGTTAGTCTGCTGCTTTTTTGATAAAAATTCAATAATTCACGATGTCTTTGCCCACACTTAACGCACAAAATAGCCATAATTACTGAGTTTGATTTCCTTATATCGTTATTTACCGTAATAGATAATTTTACTATTTTGCCACGTAATATTTGATCGTACCGGACGCCGGTGCAGATTTCCGCAAATTTAAATTAAGGTATTTTTAAAATTTATTTTATTAGAAACTTTTTAGATTGTTAAGGAGTTATTTCGCTGATTGGTTATGGCCGTTTCGTTAGTGAGAAATACTTAACTAATTTGAACAGGCGTACGGCGTGAGTAAGGAGTGGGCGGACGGGATCTACCAGAACTACGTGATCCAGGGCGATGTGCGCTACCTCCAGGACTTCAGTATTAAATTCCCGGTGACCATCGGACTGGTCAGCGACATCGCCGCCAAGTACAAAGCCGACCCCGCCAAACCGCCCACGGCGGCCATCTACATGAAGAAACTCCTGCGCCAGCTCAGCGACGTGGCCACGGCCTACGAGCTGGCCAACGAATTAGCCCTGAACGATCTCTCCATGGAGATCCTGCAGATCGACGACGGTGCCTATCTCCGCGATGTTATGCGCGTCTAATTACAACTGCTGACTGAGCGCTCTGTTGGCCGCATTTTATTTCGTTTCTTACTGTGATTTGGTATTGAAGATTTGTTTACTTTTTTTATAAATATGGTTTTTAACTTTTTGCACATATTTTTTATCAGTGCTGGCTGTGATTTTGGCGCGTCTTGATTTTGGGAAATTGTTGGGGACGAATTATTATTTGATATAAAAATGCCAATAAAATTCAGGACAATAAATGAATGAATTGTTGGTGATTTTGGTTAAAGGTCAACATGAGCATAACGAATTTGATGGCGTCATGTTTGAGTTTGGTTTGTCAGTGAAGGTTAATTACTGCACATTATGAAATTAATCATCAATACTTCTAGCTATAAGCTTTTGATAAAATAATTGTAATATGAGAAAATCAGTCACTCGATCGCGTACATGTTTTGCTAGCCCATTGAAGCAGCAAGAAAACATCTTCTTTCATGATCAGCAAGAAAACCGGGAGCTGGATGTGATCGACCGAAGGGAAGGTCCTCTGTGTAAAAGAAAACGGGAATCTTTGTCACGTCGTCAAGTCGGTCACGCTATAATAATTTTTACAAATAAGTTTTTTACAAATAAAAATAATTACTGCGAGCACTAATTTATATCATTTATAATAATTTATACGTATTTGAACAACCGCTACTGCCGTTCCTGGCCTCACTTTGGTATTATAGTGTTAGCCTAAAGCTCTGCACTTCTAGTAGAATATTCAATATTTGATCGTTATATCTATATACGCATTACACGTGTACTGCGTACTGATACTCTCTCCTCGTATACTTTATTCTTATACCTACATGGATTACCTTCCATGAAAGCTACGGATACAGTCATTTTAAGCGTTTAACATAGCGAAATCCGCGTTATTAATCGTACATGTATTTGTCGTCTAGCGTTCAATCAGCTTCTTTGTCACATGTACTGTTACATCACCGGACAGCGGATTACCCATATGTTTATCCTCTGGTCACGTGTGCCCGTTTCTATGGCCTGGTGGTCATAGTCCATGTTTTTGCCTTTCTCATGCCCTCGTTAGCCAGATCAAGATGTACCTGTACTGACGATGAGTGATCGTCTGATATTACAGAAATCTCATCGTTTGATGACTGATATTATCTGATATCTGTAGTTCGATTCCTTTGATGTCCTGTTACTGATTTTCCGGCTCAGGTCGCTATTTAAGCGATCATGTTTGTTTGTTATTTAATTTTCTACTTTTTGTTCTTAGCTGAATATTATTAAAGTGCCTAAAACCCGCTATTAAGCATTAGTCGCACATAATCGCTTATGGACACTACAGATACATATATATAGGTACTAATATATTAGCGTATCGATGGTGGCGAAAACCTTTTTATAACCGCGACCTTGAGTATTTTTGTTTTCGCGGCAGTAGTACGTAGTTTTATGTTAGTTGGGAGGGGGATTGCACCGTTGGCAGATTTGTACCGGATATTGAGGATTTCCTTGTTTTGGGAGTATCACCACGTACGCACTGTGACTACGATGCCGCGGATAAAACGGAGTCAATAGGGCGGTTGTCTCAAGGCTACCCGTGACACGCCGTTGGCTGACGCGATGGGCTCAGTTGCAGTGCCCTTCGACGTGCGGCCGCCCGTGTTTAGTGGTAAAGCGGAAGAGAACGCAGCGGCGGTTTAGGACCGTGGCACAGGCGCTCGAATAGAACGATGCCATACTTCTATAGTTAACGCAGGTGCCAGGGTATCTAAATGACCATTCACGTCGGCCAGTTGTATGTCCGAGGATGGGAGGAAGCCGCACACCACTTGGAAGGCCTTTAACCATGAGCTATTGGCCCGTTTCGGACCGAAGACTGGAAGCTTTAGCTAATGCAAAAGACCTCACATCGGAAGTTGGCAGAGATATGTCGTCGACCGACTCATTGCTCTGCAACTTACGTTGAGATCTTTTGCAGTTTTGCTTTAGCAAGCTTCCAGCCTTCCAGACTCTTCGGTCGTATGACTCGTATCCATAACGATACAAACAAATCATGTCAGTTTTTTGTCACATCAAGTTTAATCAACACGAAATTAATCAAATAATGCGATACGGATAAGTCCAAGCGTTCAGAGCGGAACAGAGAAAATAAGAGGCATCGTATGTAGAAAATGGCATATATTCGTCTCGGTATACGCGGTCTCTGGACTGACTGGATATCAGTTTTTGGACAGAGTACCACTAAACATAACTTTTTAACAGTCTTCCACACAGCCAGCGGGAGCACCATCGCAGATTCCCCTCTCTTGGACGCAGTTGCCAAAGGTCATACAGATCATGTCGCCGTTGGGATGGCAGCCGCGCCCCGCCGTGTAGCACCAGTTCCCCCAGCTGTTCTGGCAGTGACGCCAACACGAGGTGCTGGCTCCTCGCTGACGGCAGCCGGCTGTTCCCTCACCGCGATTTCCTTCCACACTGTTCAATGACAGCAACACCATACAAACCGCCAGGATAACGGCGTATACCGGCATTTTTTTGGGAATTGAAACGGGAGAAGAAAATGCAACGAGACGCTCTCAGTTCGACGACGTGAATTTTAATGTCGCACTGAATGCTTCGGGTAATAAAATACCGTGCGGAAGTATTTTCCGCTGCTGGCAGTAATAAGAACGTCGTACTTTCGGTAGGCGTATATGCAACAGTACACCAGCAAACGCAAAGAAAGCACATGTTCGGCTTACGTAGCTCTAATGCTTATTTTATGACTCAGTATCAGTGTCGGCGACTCGGCTGTCGATAAAAAAATTAGGGAGTGATTTCTATGGAAAAGTTTTGCAGCTGTGTATTTTTTTCCAGTCTCATTGTGTTATTTTGCGTCAGAAAGTTAAAGCACTCAGTATTGCCTAACTGCCGACTGCCTCCGGTAAGCCGTTTTGGATTTTCAGTGATAACGTCACGCGTGCATTTATTGGAAAGAAACGTTAGCACTCTAGCCGACACGATTTGCTGCAAGCCAACAACAAAATGTGAGCCAGTTTCACGACATCTGTTTCGCCTGGAAAAGTCTTAAAGAATAAACACGCTCATCGCTCGATACCTGGAGAAAGCGTAGGGCGGTGGCTCAATTTTGAAATATCAACTTAGACTTAGTATGGTTTCCTTCGGGTTTAACAACAATGATTACATACTACGGTTACAAGTTCCAAAAATAACGTAGACTTAGTATGGCTCTGTCTTACGAAAAAAAGCACGCTACTTGTGTATTTCAACACTAATTGGCCTGAGATGTAGATAATTAGCGTTTTCATTTTTAACTTTTCTGTTTGTCGGCAGCTTTCAGCGTTCGCAGTGACGATTAAAGTCGACGAAGCTAAAACAACCAGATTTACAGTAACGGCAACCACGCTACACATCCATACAGAGAATAATAGGAATAATTAAAAAACAGCATCGGTGCTCATCGTTCAAAGGACTTTCTTTTTATTCAAAATTTTCCCGCTGATAACCGTGCGAATATCGTCGGCGTCCAGGGTCTCGTACTCCAGTAACGCTTCGGCCAGGAGCCGGTGCTCCTTGGCGTGCTGCTTCAGGATATTCCTGGCGCGCTCGTAAGAATCCTAAAAGAAACAAGTAACGATGCCGATCAACACTCAAATCAGCTAAAGTAACAAAGGCGTGAATTTTTATGTATTTTATCCATCGTTATTTTTTCGTTGTTTTTTGTCTTCATTTGGGCCTATTTATTCTTTTTTCTTTTGCAGGGATTTCACTAAATTAAACCAGTCGATAATATAAAATGTCCTCGGTTTACTATTGGTTCAACAATCAAATCAGCTAAAGTAACAAATTCAAGCGTAAATTTTTATGTATTATTTTTCAATATTTCTTGCCTTATTTTTGCCAATTTATTCCTTCTTCTCTTTTAGAGGTTTCATTATTAACCTATAAAATTTCCTTTTGACTGTCTCCAGTTTACTATTGGTGGTACGTATTTTCGACGATAATTTTTCCTCCTTATTAACTGTAAAACGATTTTGCTGACTTCGTCAGTGGAAAGACGATTATTTTAAAGCCAAGGAAAGATAGATAGAGACTTGTTCAGTTACCTGGAGAATCTTTTTGATTTCCGCATCGATGGCTTCGGCGGTGGTGGGCGCCAGGTCCTTGCCGGCGGAGAAGACACTGCGCTCGTCATCGTCCCCGTAGTACCGCAGTCCCACCTTCTCCGACATGCCGAACATCTTCACCATCCGACTGGCCAGCTCCGAGGCCTTCTTCAGATCATCCGACGCGCCGGAGGTTATGTAGTCCGGCCCGAATATCAGCTCCTCCGCCACCCGCCCGGCCAACAACGTGTCCAGCATGGCCAGCATCTCCGACTTCTTGTGATGGTACATCTCCTTCTCCGGAATATACGCCGTCTGAAAAATTCAACAAACACAGCGTTTAGCAGAAAGGAACTGCAGTGTACGCTGTAGGGTCCATTATACCACAGTAAATCGTGATGTTTTTTAGCCGTGTTACCGTCGTTTGCTGATATTAGTATCCTTTGACCAATACGAATTAAATGTACGAGTATTATTGTATCGCTCGACCTAATGCTCAAATTTGCAACTACATATTTTGCTTGACCAAATTCTGCAAAAATTAACAGGAACAAAGGAAGCGAAAATTTACAAAAAAAGTTGAGAATAAATAATACCACAATCAACCGAAACTGTTAGATACATGTTCCCGTCAAGTACTTATTTATTCCGCTGAAAAGGTCCAGCAAAGCGATTTGTTTGTGCATGTTAGTACATTCGCGCAATTAATCCGTCAACAACCTTCGTATTACTGTTGAAAATTTAAATCATTGGGAAAACATATCAAATGGCTAAATCCCGAAATCTCTGCTGTCATTTTTATTTTTATCATTATCTGAATATCACAGCTGATTTACGAAAGTAGTAATAAGTGAACTGACTACTGCCGAATAAAAGTCCCAACTTGAATAATAATATGGCAGCGTAGTGTAATGGCATAATGATCAGGCGGAATTTATAAACTTGCTGATACAGTAGACACTTCAATCTTCAATCGAAACCAACTAGAGATTTCCCAAATTTTTCCGATTTTCCCCCGTAAATTTATTTATGCGCTTCACATGCACTCTAGCTGCTGAACGTTATTGTTATCTGCATTAAATAAAAAAAATTCGTGTTCAGTAAAAAAACATTTAAATCGGATTGGCGGCTACTCACATGTCCGAGGGAGGGTCCGCGCGGCACGATGGTCACTTTGTGCAGCGGCATGGAGTCCTTGGTGAAGTGGGCCACGAGGGTGTGGCCGCCTTCGTGGTAGGCGGTGATCTGGTTGGCCTCCTCGTCCGGCACTTTGGTCTTCTTCGCCGGCCCCATCAGCACTTTGTCGCGGGCGCGCTCCAGATACTCCATCGTCACGGAGGACAGTCCGTCGCTGGCCGCCGATAAAGCCGCCTGGTTGACCATGTTCTCGATATCGGCACCTGCATTACAACCAATGTTTCACATTTTCTACTGATTTTTTTTCTACCACAATCAATCTTAAGATTAAATTATAATAGGCATTTAATCCAGCTGATAAACTCGCAAACCATATTCCACACAATGTGCGGCAGTTGCGCCAGAAAAACCCGTCTACTAAAGATAAACCTCACTGTGTAAAAAATTATGACAATAAATTCAAATTACAGCAGTAATTTATGCTTTATTCATTCTTTACTTAAAACAAAACATGAACTCAATTAAAAAATAAAATGGAATAAATTAAATTCTTTACCCATTTCTACAAATAAAAAAATTACGAATAATTTCACATTACAGGCACATTATCCATGATTTGCTGATTTTTTCAGTATTTTATTCATTGTTATTTTATTCATTATCTTTTTCTTTATTTTTAGTCGTTATCTGTTCCTTTTTTATGTGTAAATAAATTAATTCATGATTTTCCAACAAGAACGTTATATTTTACCGGGTGGCCGAACAAAATGTCACCCTGGATTAATATGGTGCCCTGGGCCAATCCGGTGCTTGATTGACATGATTTAGTTTTATTCGAAAGAGCATTTTTTATGACACAAGAAAGTTAAGTCAAACCAACAATATAAATGAGTTTCCTTTTTTCCAGAAATATTTTGAGAAAATGGGTGGAACTGAGTAATGTCCTGGAAACAAAAATTCAAATTTCCCTATTTTCAAATTTGAATTGTAGATATTCAACCAAATAGGTTATTGTTTATGACGTTGCTTTTTCGGAAAGGGGGATTGTTCCTGGTTTTTTTTTACTGTAAAGAATAAAAACGTTCTAGTGACCCTGGCTGGGCAACGAGCGAAAGATTTGGTACTCCTTACATTTCATCTTCATGAAACGGGGTAGCGGACTTTTTGAAAACAATTTGCAGACCATCGCTTCGAATGCAGTCCTGGTTCACACCCGTGTTTAAAAGAGTATGTACTCACCCACCTACAGTTTCCAGTTGAAGCGGCGCTCTTCATTGCACCCAGTACTGAACAAAAAAATTGTAACTAAAATACTTATAAAAACAAACGAAAAAAATCGTAATTTTTTCGAACGGTCAAAAAGGTTGCTTAGTGCCTAGCTCATCCAGTGCATGCATCATCCCAACAATATTTTCCCGGCTGAAAGAGAAAGTGCTGCTCTAAATAAAACATTTAAAAAACTCGAAATCATGTGCAAGGACAAAAAGTTAGGCGCAATTTTTAACTATGCGAGCTGGGACACTAAAAATTTCTACACGATTTCACTTGGCGCCGTTGTTAACGAGGAGTCTCAATTTTCTAAAAAAATATTTGAGTGTTTTGAGTAGCTTATGAAATTGTCTATCGAATGAGTCTATCCGGTTTAAATTACGTTAAGTGGTTCGCGCAGGGCAAAACAAACGCCTAGGGTGACATTTTGTTCGGCCACCCTGTAGTGTGTAATTAAAAATTACGAAATTCAGTGAAAACTGATGAGGTAAAATTTTCTTATAAATCGGAATCAATGCACTTTCTGCACCTGTGAAAAATACCATACTTACCGGTGAATCCCGAGGTGCCGCGGGCCAGCACCTCCATCTGGACGTCGGCGGCCAGCACCATCTTGTCGAGGTAGTAGCGCAGGATCTCGGAGCGGCCCTTGAGGTCCGGCATGGGCACGTGCACCTCCACGTCGAAGCGGCCGGGCCGCGTGAGGGCCTTGTCCAGGTCGTCCTGCCGGTTGGTGGCGCCCAGCACGATGACGCTCTGCGTCTGGTGGAAGCCGTCCATCTCCGCCAGCAGCTGGTTGATGGTCTGGTTGGCGTGCGGATGCAGCACCGAGTTGGTCCGCTTCGAGCCCACCGCGTCGATCTCGTCGATGAAGATCACACAGGGAGCGCGCTCCTTAGCCGCCGCTGCACAAATTATACCATAATTTTAGCACGAAATGACTCTTGTCCTTAATCGCAAAACAATTCTCTAAACATAATTTAACCATAATTCGAATTTTAAACACAATTTTATAACAGTACTCCTTATGGTTAGCTCACTGTCCGCAAAATGATACAATTCACAAATCATTTCAGAGAAATAAAATCAGTGCAAAAATCATATTACAATTTTTCAGTAAAATTAAATTAAAAAACCCAGAATTAGTCATTAAGTTAATTTAAATTTATGAAGTTATCTCGCTGTTAAATAAAATGTTGTTCAAGTTATGCACGATGGCAATGAGTAGTCAAAAGATTAAACGATTATCATTATTATTATTATTTTGACATCATTTGCGCGTCTTTTTCACAACAGTCAACACTTTTTCACAACAAATTTTCCTATGTAAAATTCAGATATTTTAGGCCGAAAAAATCGCCAAATTTATAGTGAAAATAGCCGTCTTACCGAATAATTCCCGGACGCGCCGAGCGCCCTGTCCCACCAGGATCTCATCGAACTCCGAGCCGGCCACCTGGAAAAACGGCACACCGGCTTCGCCCGCCACGGCGCGCGCCAACAGCGTTTTGCCGGTCCCGGGAGGCCCGACCAGCAGGACACCTTTGGGCAGTTTCCCGCCCAGCGACCCGAAGCGTTCGGGATTCTTCAAATACTCGACAATCTGCATCAGTTCCTCTTTCGCTTCATCCACCTGAACAGCGAAACACGCACAAGTTAATCACTAATTCCATGCGTATACAGCGAATACTATAGCCACCAAAAGTCTCAAAGTAACCACGAATCATTTCATTTTTTCACATTTTTTTCCTCGAAACGTATCAGTATTTTTCCACTTACGTAATCAAACAATTATCAAATTCAAACCAATTACTAATTATAAAAGATTATCTTAAAAATTTAAATTCAAAACGTAAAACAAATACTTAGTTTAAACTTCTTTTTAATCTATTTCGTGCAGAGATTCACAAACAGTCGAGCAGATAATAAGAATAAATTCTGGCTAAATATTTCAAAATTATTTATGGAACAAAATATTTTTAAGAATATTCGAGTGAAATACACAACTGCAGAGCCACTGCCTACCCCTTTGACGTCGTTGAAGGTGACGCTGACATCCTCGGGCGTGACCTCGTGGGGACTGAGGCCCATCATGACGCGGAATGACATGGTGTTGCTGATCATCACCAGCACGACGGCCAGCAGCGCCGCCGACATGGCCAGACTGAAGAAGCGCAACAGCAGCGGCGCGCGGTTGCCGGATTTGGCCTTCTGGTCGTTGGAGGCCAGGTAGCCCTCCAGAAACGCCAACTGCAAACACAATAATTCCCTTTAAGAAAATTTTTCGAGAATAATTTCCCTGATCAACTGACGATGACGTACGCGGACTTTGTTGAAGTCTTCCTGGCTCAGCGTGGAGTCAGTGGCCATGTACTTCTTAATGTGCTCATCGGTGACGATTTTCAGGGGGGCTTTGTCAATAAGCTGCAGATATAAGGCGTATTATATCGAGAATATTATCAGTAAGCAAACGCTAGCCCAATCTAACCATTCTCAATCAGTTCCGAATTTCATAATTATTTCAAAATGTTTTATTTAATTCATACCTATATGCTGGAATCTGCAAAATCTTAATTTTAATAATTAACAACTATTTTCACAATCAATAATAATTTAGAAAAATAAATTAATCCGATCTGTGCGCCCATAATTTAAAAGTTGAAAAACAACAAAATTTTTGACTGATCAAGTTCCTAATTTCTTGTGTTCCAGCATTCTGAAATATATTTTTATGACCACTCTGCATTTCTCTATTGTTTTCAGTAACATAAACTGACATAACTTTCGTGATAATAAACGAAATAAAACCCGATGAATGCGAATAAAACCTTACAAAAAAAAATTGATGAGCTCAGTCTGACGTACCTTGGCTTTCCTCAACCAGTTGGACAACAACCCGCCCCGCTCCCCCAGAATGTCCTGGAGGCTCTCCTCCGCCGTCTTCGTCCCGCCGCCCAACGTCTTGGGATTCCGCTTGCGCGTGGTGAAGCTCCGCGTCGATTGCGTGGCCCCCAGGAGCCCCTGCGCGGTCCGCCGCGTCAGGAGCCCCACATCCAGGGGCAGCGGCCCACTCCCCAGATACGTCCCCACCGGGGTCAACACCCGGGGGTGGACGACATCCAGAAGGCCGGGGGCCGCGATCTCCAGACTACGCAGGAGATCCTGGGGCGACAGGTCCCCCAGGCTGGACAGGAGGGTGGCATATGTCTGCAAAAAGGGAGGGATCAAGGGGAATCAAGGGGAAACGAAGTGAAATGAAAGGAAACGTGATGTACATCACGGGGAGACTGTGCTTCGTCGGTGGAGCGCGGGAGTACGGTGCGACGCTGACTGCGACAGTTCAGCCAGTGGAGGGCGCGCAGGGACCAGGTTAGGCCGGAGTTGCCCAGGAGGACTAACAGCTGTAAAGAAGGAGTGATTATTACGGGCCAATGGGAGGATATCATGGAGATTGGCACCTGTGAGCCGCCAATGAAGCCTTCGGATATCATGGTGGAGCGGAGGGATTTGAGGCGGACCTCGAATCAGCTGGTCGACGCACCGGGAACAGTCTGACGACAGGAGAAGGATTACATTTGATTCTGCCACAGTCTAAGTCAATGATGCCGGGGCTTCATCGGTTCAAAAATCAGAAATCGAAATTATGAAGCAAAACAGTGTGCAACAAATTAAACTACAGTATAAAGTAATAAATAAATCAAAAATGAGAAAACTCAGTAAAGCGCTGACTGTTAGTGTTCGCAGTTTCATCACTCTGCGTGAGTGCTGGGTTGAAAGGTTCGTTACCTCTGCGTGTTGCAAAACGTCTCGTACTCTGTATTATCATAGCATCTGCCGTGCGGTCCATCTAACCACCGGCTGCAGGGGGTTGTTCCCATACGAGGGAAGAACGCGTGCTACAATATGAACTATGCAGTATGCAGACTGCGACTGCACTCTTTCAATTTTCCCTGATTCGAACTTATTGTTCAGTACGTTCCAAAATTTTGCACATGACGGAAGTGAGAAGTGGTTGCAGATTATTAATTTTGTGAAACAGTTTTTCCCAAGTAAATTTTGCTTCACAACAGGTAGCCTTTCTGTTACCTTTGAGAGGATATTTGTAGTTATTTTGTACGGTGGTGTGGTCGATTTGTACTCTTTGCAGACAGTACTGTAATGACACAGGTTTAAGGAACACGAAAATAACCTAGGTCTGCTTGCAAGCACCCGGGGCCTGCAGTTACGTTCAAATTGATTCACTGAGAGGGCTTTTCACAACTGCAGGAAATTTGAATTTTGATGAAAAATTTAATCAGTTTTCGAAAAAACTTTCACGTCGAATGGTACATATTACTTCTTTTTTGGATATCCAGTCAAAAACAGTACCAATTTCTGATCGCAATAATTCTGAAATCCGTCAGCTCGGCTTTTGCACAAGCGGTTTACGACTTGAAACATCGGCCTAGCTCTGGATAGGACCAATGATAGATTTCTGCTCGTGCTCTTCACCACACTGACCACAGACAGATTCGCGAATCGCACAGTTCTGAACCATATCACTGTAGTACGTTTCGGCATCTCGCGCTTCTATGACATCGTCCTTCATAAAATGGTTTTTACAGGCTCGACACTTCCTTTTACAGGCTCGACTCGACACACGACATGGATGCCATCACCTCGTATCCTTTTCGGGGTCCAGCATGCGGCCCCCTCGAGATCAATTTCGGGAACACGGTGATGGTTCAGCGCGAGAACGGTGAATGGTGGTTGGGATACGTGCAGGATATCCATGACGATGAGGACCACATGTTTGTTAACTTCGATTCCGCAACGGATCCCGCTGGTTGGATCCATTCACGCCACATCCGGGCGCAACGCTTTTTAAGCGATGGTCTGTTGTAGACATTGGACAAGATAGTGGCAGCAGGTGATAATTTTGCAGTGCTGGTGGCGCTGCGCAAGGGTGAGAATGGATCACATGTTTTCCGTCCGGCCCGACTTGTGAAAGCAACGTCCCGATTCGGTATGTTCTTTGTCCAGTTGGACCATGGCACTGCGTCGCAGCGTCTGGTGGTTCATTTATGGCAGATTGCCGTCACGATTGATCCCGCTTTGGATGGTCCACCGCTGTACAACCAAACCAGCGGACTGTACTACCGCAAATTCCTCGTGCCATTCGTCAGTGCTGGCTGGATTACGAAGCTGGATTGGACGGCCCTGCAAAATTGTCTGCACATGATCGGAGAAACCCTGTCCACAAATCCACCTGGAAGAGTTGTTCCTGGTAACAGCTACGTAGCACTCCGAGTCCACGTTGGTGTCGCTGGAGAATTCTTACGTTTTACCTGCGCCCAACTCCATCACGACAACGCTAAGGAGCATGTCGAATGGAATCTGGACACCTTAACCAAAGCCTGCGCGAGATTGTATCCTGTTCCGGATCCGCCAATGTTAGAATCTCTAAAAACTGAATACGGTTAATGCGACTGAAGTCCCTCAAGCCGGATTAATTTACGGTGAGTGTGGATTTGTCACACACCGATTTGTGACAAGCGTTTTCTAAAAGCAGCGCAGTGAATGCATCCTAATATAGTGGAATAAGTTTACAACTCACGTTGTAGATAATGACGGATGGATCGGTGTTGTGGTGCCTTCGGTTATCGCCGATGTACTCCTCACTTTGGACCTGCACTCACAAGCAGAAGTAAAAAGGTAACGGTTCTGTGAAATTTTTCTTTAATTTGTTTGGAACAGGTAATGGTTAGTGCAACGCACAGCCGTATTATGACTTTATCAGTCGCACTGCAGTACTTGTACACTGTACGCCGATACTGCCACAAAACCGTATTCATTTTAGGGTCTGCTCATTGTGGTATCAGCTTTTGACTGACCGTTACATCAGCCGACACATTGTCATCGATAGCTCAATCCTGAAAGGGAAGGACTGGCTGCACATGTTGTCGGCTGCGACGCCGTGTAGTATCGTTTCATCGGGGCATTAAATAACATCCTAACCGCTGAAACTAAGAGTCTTACTCTGCTCGACCATCGGCAGTCCACAGACTTGTCCGCCGTTACAGTTTTATTGACAACGCTACTGACCGTCAAGGAGATTCAACTGGACCATATCGTAATCATAGACGGCCACATATTTGATGGTATTGTGAGTTGTCCGGACATGTACTCCTTGCTAGGACCTGATGACCATGACCATGCCGATGGTATTTGGAAGTGCCGCTGTTTGACCTGACTGAGCACCGTCTGTCAGCGTCTGATTTTACGGAATTATACAGTGCGGCATATTACAATCGGAATGGGTTATCTGTTTTTGTTTAACGAGTTTCCCGGGGACGCACCGGGCTTGAATGATCGCGGACAGGTTACGGTTACGATCTCGCATTTAACGCTGGAGTGCGGTGATTCTGCGCATTGTGGCGTCAGATATTATCGGATCCGTACGCCAGCCGACACGTTGCCATTGATAGCTCAATATTTAACCCGAAAGATTTATCTTACAAACTGCTTTCCTGCCACAATGTGTATGACTTCAGCTGGGCCGTGAATAGGACCATAGCCACTGACACGAAAAGCCTCACTCTGATGGATCATCCGCAGTTTGCGTACTTACCCCCAGTTACAAAAGTTTTGGCGACGGTACTCTTCGTCAAAGGGATTCAGCTGGACTATATCCTGATTAAAGATAGCTCCACATACGATGGCATTACGAATCGGCCTGACTGGTACGACCTAATGGAACCGGATTACTATAATGTGGATCGAGCTTGGAAGTGTCACACTTTAACCACACTCATCCCCGTTTGTCGATGTCTGGTTCTGCGGAATTACGCGGTGGACGGTCGCATGAAACATCTGTTTTATCACGATGAATTCCCGCGCGGCCAAGCTGGTTTCAGTGAATACCGGGCACGAGCTCCACTTACGATCCCGTACTTAATGCTGCATTCCGATGATGGTGATGCCGGTATGCTCCGCAAATTTTTACTAGCGGCGGAGATGAACTATACTCCAATTAATTCAACAGTGTACAACAATGTAAGCTGCATTCTTCGGCGATGGGTGGATAATCTGGAGTATCCCAATCAGTGGCGTTCTATTCGACGCCTCTTTCAGCTGTAAGTGTTATGTGACTGCCTAGGCTCCAAGAAACTTTGAGTTTGTTGTGAATTTGTAGGTACTGTGGTTTGCGACCCGATGGCAGTGGCCAGTGAGCGTAATTGGGCGGATATTGATTTGAGACAAGTGGAGGTATCCACTCTTACTAAGCTAACTGTTGCAGCAATTAATGCGGTTTGTTGAACTTTGACTCGGTTTGTTGAATTAGCAAGCAACTATTTGAGCAACTTGCTCTTTTCCGTGTGGCGCATGATATGCAGTGACCATATAAATGTTGAAATGATGAAATCATTTTTAATATTTTCTGTACGTATTGAAACTGACAGGGTAAGAGCATGGCCAAAACGTTGCCAAATCAAAATGGATTTGTATGTTTTCGGGGGAGTTTTGGACAGCGACACGACCGATGTCAGCAGCTGACATACGGCAAAAACCGCTGTAACCGCTATGTTAACCTAGCGATCCAGATTTTGCTTGAGTTGCTAGCAGCATTTGTAGATACTACCCTGAATATGGGTGAAACGTGGGGATAAGGGCAATGGCGTGGTGAAATCCAGAGTGCAAAATTTCTTCCAGCCACTGCAAACTTGCAGCAAATAGAAGTACAGATTCTTCGCTACGAGAAATCTCGTACCGAAGCTTCAGCAGTGTGTGATGCCAACTCATTACTAAAGAGCAAAGGTCATAAATAAGGTCATGCTTACACAAATGACCTACAAAATCATAAGCTTTCTTACGTTTGGAGCAACCTACGGATAGTTGTATTAGGTTGAAGTAGCGGTAAAATATAAACGTAAAAAAATTCGCCAGCTATTCGAGTACAGTAGTTGCTACACCATTTTCGATTGGAGGAGTGACATAATATTGTGCGTGCCATGTGACATAATATTGCGCCACATCATACTTATTTAACAAGCAGGACGCGCGGCGCTTACGGGCCGCGCTGACGCGGCCCACGGTTACAAACGGCTTGAAAGTGTGGGTCTAAAGGCCATCAGTGACCAATTGCTTAAAAAGCCTTCAGTGACCAAAGGCTTAAAAGGTCTTCGGTGACCAAAACCCTAACACGCCTTCAATGGGCAAAGGCTTAGAAAACAGTCGGTGACCAAAGGCTTAAAAGGCCTTCGGTGGCCAACGTACCACACGCGTGGCCTTCGGTGATCAAAGGCTCAAAAAGGCGAGTACCGCACGCCTGGCTTTCCGTGACCAAAAGCTAAAAAAAGCGATTACCGCACGCGGGGCCTTTCGTGTTCAAAAGCTCAAAAGGGCGGGTACCGCACCTGGGACCCTCGGTGACCAAAAGCTCAAAAAGGCGGGTACCACGCGCGTGGCCTTCGGTGACCAAAGGCTCAAAAGGCAGGTAGGGCGACAGGCGGGTGGCAAAGAAGGCGGGAACTACAGGCGTAGGCTTTCGTGACAAAAGCAAAAGGCGGGTATTACACGTAGCCGTGACCAAAGCTCAAAAGGCCACGCACCTGGGACCTTCGGTGAAAAGCTCAAAAGGCGGTACCACGCGCTGGCCTTCGGCCAAAGCTCAAAATACCACGCACGCCTGGCTTTCCGTGACCAAAAGCGGTACCGCACCGGGACCTCGGTGACCAAAGCTCAAAGGGCGGTACCGCACGCGGACCTTCGGTGACCA